ATATTATATAGAAAATTATTTTCCTCAGATATTTTTAATACTGTAATAACATTTCTCAGCCTATTTAAAGGTTCATATTGATCATCACAATACTTCTTTAAGTGTAACGAAGTGCTATAGTATTTTGGTTTTATATTAGTAGCTGATTAAAATTTCAATGCACAAATTCTAATGCAGTTATTTTGAAGGTAGCTCATTTCACTCTTAGAAAGCCTGTTGAGTTTTTGCAACAGGCTGTTGAGCATTGCAAGTCATGAAAAACAACTAATTTTCCATTTTGGTCACTGCTTTTCACATCAGTCATCATCCCAAAATAAAAAGTAAATAATGAAAGCAGCTGCTAGGCTACTTATTTTTTTGTGATTTTTTTCAATCTCTGATTGAACTCGAAATGCTCGAAAACAGGTTCTCAGCCTTAGAACTATTGACACTTTGGGCCAGATAACTCTTTGTGAGGGTTGTCCTATGCAATATAGGATGTTGAGCAGCATCCCGATCTCTATGCACTAGATACCAGTAGCACTGTTCACATCCACCCCACAGTTTTTTGGGGGTTTGGGGATTTGTTTTTTTAAGATGGAGTCTCGCTCTGTTGCCCAGGCTGGAGTGCCGTGTCACTATCTTGGCTGCAGCCTCCGCCTCCTGGGTTCAAACGATTCTCCTGCCTCAGGCCTCCCAAGTCATTGGGACTGCAGATGTGCACCACCATGCCTGGCTAATTTTTGTTTGTTTTTTTTTTTTTCAGTAGAGACGAGGTTTCACTGTGTTGGCCAGACTGGTCTCAAACTTGTGACCTCAAGTGACCCACCCATCTTGGCCTCCCAGAGTGCTGGGATTATTTTGAGACGAGTCTTAAATGGCTTACTGCGGCCTTGAGCTCCAGGCTCAAGCAGTCCTTCACTTTCAGCCTCCCAAGTAGCTGGGACCACAGGTGCACACCACCATTTCTGGCTAATTTTTTTATTTTTAGTAGAGACAAGGTCTTGCTTTATATTGCCTAGGATAGTCTCAGATGCTTGGCCTCAAGCAGTTCCTCCTGCCTTGGCCTCCCAAAGTCCTGAGATTACAGGTTTGAGCTACCCTGCCTAGCACACTCCTCAGTTTTAACAATGAAAAATGTCTCCAGAAATTGCCAGATGTGGGGAGGGGGAGTTGTACAGTGATGATCTACTTTGAGAACCACTGCTTTATAAGAACATAGTAGTTTTTTTGTTTCTACTTTTTGTTTTTAACTGTCTTGTTTAATGGTGATTTTAAAACATGGCTCAGAAAAATCACATAATTGAGAATAGTTTATTCCGTGAACTTTATATTAGCTTGTGGAAAGACAATGTGAATAATTCAAATTGACAAGTAAGTAGACACTTACTTGTGCCTTCACTGAGACTAGCAACTTGAAATCATGTTGCTAGAGGATACATTTGATATTTGTTGACCTCGGTGAAAATATTAAAAAGCATAGACATTGTTGCAGGAAGTTTACAAGTCCAAATACTTGCTCATCATTTTCTGAATTTTTAAAATAAATACATAAAATAACGTGTACAAGTTACACTAGTTGATACACATGTGATTAACTTATAAATTTATTTTACATCTTAACTATATTAACTTTTGCTTTTTGTCATATTCTCTTTCAGTAGAGGTTAAAAGTACCACTGCTATGGAAGTACCACTACTAGATGAAAGTTTGAGCTGGATGTGGTGGCTCACACCTGTAATCCCAGCACTTTGGGAGGCCAAGGTGGAAGGATTGCTTGAGGCCAGGAGTTCAGGATCAGCCTGGGCAACATAGTGAGACCCTGTCTCTAAAAAAGAAAAAATAGAAATAAAATCGCCTGAGACTATTAGATGGAAGTTTGTAAGACTCTAATGGGTTTTTTTCTGGTTTTTATTTTGTTTTGTTTTGTTTTCTTTTTTAGAGACAGGATTTTGCTATGTTGCCTAGGCTGGAGTATGGTGGCTATTCACAAGTGTGATCATAGGCCCTACAGCCTCAAACTCCTGGACTCAAGCAGGCATCCCCAGTAGCTGGGACTACGTGTGCGGTGTTTTAAAATCTAAAATCTAAATGGGCCGGGCGTGGTGGCTCGCGCCTGTAATCCCAACACTTTGGGAGGCTGAGGCAGGTGGATCACCTGAGGTCAGGAGTTCGAGACCAGCCTGGTCAACCTGGTGAAACCCTGTGTCTACTAAAAATAAAAAAGTCAGCTGGTCATGGTGGCTGACTCCTGTAATCCCAGCTACTTGAGAGGCTAAGGCAGGAGAATCACTTGAACCTGGGAGGGGGAGGTTGCAGTGAGCCGAGATGGCGCCACTGTGTTCTAGCCTGGGCCACAAGAGCGAAACTCCATCTCACCAAAAAAAAAAACAATAAAATGATTTTTTTCCCCAGATTATAATAATAATAAGTTGAATATTTTCGAGTTTACATTTTTGTTCCATAGTATTTTCTTAAGCCTTTTATACCAGACTTTAGGAAAACCTAGCATCTGATTTTTAAAAGACTTTTATTATAGACCTTAAAATTGTATTTTAAGGGGGAGAATACTACAACGAAAACTCCATGGCCAGGCCTGGTGGCTTATGCCTGTAATTCCAGCACTTGAGCTCAGGAGTTCCAGACCAGCCTGGGCAACCTGGTGAAACCCCGTCCCTACCAAAAATACAAAAAGTGAACTGGGGGTGGTGGTGCACACCCGTGGTCCCAGCTACTTGGAAGACAGAGATAGGAGGATTGCTTGGAGGTTGCCATGAGCAGAGATAGCACTACTGCACTCCAACCTGGGTGACAGAGTGTGACACCATCTCAAAAAAAAAAGAAAAAAGCTCCATTTGCCCATCACTCAGCTTCGGCAGCTGTTAACATTTTACCAAACTGTCTCATCTATTCCTCTCCCCCTCTCCCATCTTTTTTCTTGGTGTATTTTAAAGCAAATACCATATGACTCCCATTTGTCCTGTTATAAATAAATAAATAAATAAATAAAAATAAATATCAGACATTACCTAATTTCACCTGTAAATGTATCAGTATGTATCTCTAACAGACAAGTACTTGCTGTGATTTAGGTGTGGTTTGTCCCTGCCAAAACTCATTTGAAATTTAATTGCCATGCAACGATGTTGGGAGGTAGAACCTTTAAGAGGTAGGACCTAATGGGAAGCATTTAGGTCACGAGGCTCCACTTTCATGGATGGCTTGGTGCCATTCTCACAATAGTGAGTGAGTTTTTGCTCTCTCAAAACTGAATTAGTTCTCTTGGGAATTGATTAGTTCTTGAAAGAGCAGGTTATAAAGTAAGGACATCCTTAGTGTTTGGCCCCTTTGCACATAACCACTCCCCTTTTGACCTTCTACCATATTATATCTAGGCAGCAGAGCCCTTACCAGAAGCCAGTGGCATGCTCTTGAACTTCCCAGCCTGCAGAACTATGAGCTAAGTAAGCTTCTTTCTTTATAAAATATGCAGTGTCAAGTATTCTATTATAACAACACAAAACAGACTAAGAACTCTTTTTTTTTTCCCTTTTCCAAGATAACACTGGCCAGGCACAGTGGCTTACACCTATAATCCCAGTGCTTTGGGAGGCCGAGGTGGGAGGATCACATGAGCCTAGGGGTTGGAGACCAGCCTGGGCAATATAGTGAGACCCTGTCCCTAAAATAAAGAACAATTAGCTGGACATAGTGGCACATATCTGCAGTACCAGCTACACAGGAGGCTGAGGTGGGAGGATCCCTTGAGCCCAGGAGTTTGAGGCTGCAGTGAGCCATGCACGCCACTGCATGGGTGGCAGAACGAGACCCTGTTTCTAAATAAATAAATAATGATAACCCCAATATAATTATCTCATCTAACAAAATTAATAATAATTTCCTAATAATCTAATACCTAGTCTGTGTTTGAGCTTCCTTAAATTCTTGAAAATGCCTTCTTACAGTTGTTCCAAGCAGGATCAAAAACAATGTCCATATGCTGCACTGGGTGATAGGTCCCTTTAGTCTTACCCCACCCTCTTGCCTCTTTTTTTTTTTTTTTTTTTTTTGGGACAAGATCTGGCCCTGTCATCCAGGCTGGTGTGCAATGGTGCGATCTCTATTCACTGCAACCTCTGCCTCCCAGGCTTACACCATCCTCC